CGAGCAGGATCTGCGCATATAATCTCTGATAGCAAATTGATGGCAAAAACGGAAGGAGGGGAACAGGATTTGCATAATTCGATAGTTCATTCTTCATTTATCGCTACGTGAGCTGTACTTTCTCGTAATTGAATTTCTGTCAGAAATATATATAAAGTCGCGAATATGAATAAAAGACTAAAAATATAGTAATTATCATTTTAATTTCTATCACTTTAATTTCTGATATCTGATACAAGCAAATGAGAGTCAGAATATTAAACTAATTGGAATCAATATGATAAATAGAAAATTATTCATGTACTGCCTATTTGAGGCATAAAGCAAGAATTTAATTCTAAATAAATTACATCTCAAATTTTACAAGTTACATTTTATCATTTACTTTATTATTAATTTAATTAAATTGAATTAGTCCTTCGCTATATGAGATACAACTACGATATAACATATTACATATATGTCATTTTCTAATAAAATTCTAATTAACTTGCCGATAATATGTTATTTAACACCTGTAATAATCAATTTTGTTGCATTTATATAACATTAATAAAAGTAAGCGCAAATCTTGTGAAGTTTCTGCTGTCAATTTTCCATCGCAAATGCATGTGCAGTTTCTGCTCGGTTTCTGCTGACAATCTAACATCAAATTGCACGCGCAGATCCTGCTCGAGTTCTGCTGTCAAGCTGCTGTCGGTTTATGCTGACAGATTCTGCTAGCAGAACCCAAGCTTAATGCGGACGCAGTTGATGCCAATCTGCCGCAATATTCTGTTTGAATCTGTTCGCATGCTGCTGGCAGACTGCTAACATTTTACTTACTGGGTTATCTTTGTCTAATACTTTTAACTGTTTATATATTACAATTACACACAAGTCCAAGTTTCTCTTTCACTGTCAAATATAAAACAAAATTTGTTCATAGGAATCACATATCACATATCAATTTGATTAGGCGCGATTTCCACACTCCCTATAGAATTATCGCCGCAAGTTGTGGCTCACAAGAATGATACTCTAATGCGACAGACTGCCTCCTCTTCATTACATATCTTTTAATATCTTTTGTCTCATTCTAACTGGAGCATCACGTCTCATCTACCTTAGCATTTCTCTACATCTTTGACGTGTTGAGAAAAGTATCAACTATTCTTATTCGTATTGAAGGAAAGAAATAAAATCACAGATGCAATAAAAATAATTATTTATTGCATGCATCGTAAAGAATATCATTTACAACGCATGTTAATCATTCGCAATCGATTAATGATTCGCTCTTAAAGACATCACGCATATCGTTTTTACAATATCGCATACAGTAGTAATATTGTTACGTTGTAATACAGTTTTAAACATGTTTAAAGAAGAAAAATCATGTAAAATTACATTTTATCGATTCATACAAATTTATTACATCGAGTCTCAATAAATTGCATCATTTTTAGATAAAGATAAACTTAAAATTTTAAAATCGGAATTTCAAAATTTATCCACCCAACATTTCAATTTATTAACACGGAAAGGCATCTTTCCGTACGAATACATCGATTCCGTTGACAGGTTGCAAGATACGTGTTTACCATCGCGCGAATCATTTTACAGTTTCTTGATGAAACTATATCCGAAAACGATTACGCGAACACTGAGAATATCTAGAAGCGATTCTCCCCCCCCCTCCCATCACAGATATCTATACTATAACTAGATCGCTAACTCCTATTAATTTTGTACATAAAATGTCCCCAAAAACTATGTAATATGGTGGTCGCGCATGCGTAATATTGGTGGAAAATTAATATAGCGGACACTTATAGCCAGCTAATATTTAAGTTTTCACCTTAAAACTTGTACTTTTTACATTATAAACTTTAAATTTTGTAATAAAATAAATATTAATATAAATATATACACGGTGGGCCATTTTAATCGATGCACTCGAATATCTCGAAAACAGCACTCTTCAGAAAGAAATGTTTCAAACAAAAATTGTAGGGTGTGAAGGGGGACATAAGATGGTAGCATTGGTTTGACCTTGGAAAGTCATTTGAAGGTCACATAAAAGTCACCTTCAATTTCTTAAATTGAACCCACTATTTTTCATTACATATTCTTGTAGCTTATCTTGAGAGCTTTCCAAAACACTATAGACAAATGTTTTTTCATTAAGTACTTTTTGAGTTATAAGGCTTCAAAGTTTGCAGTACTTCGATATAAAATGCAAAATATCTCGTAAAATATTTAGTTTTCGGTAGTCTTACCCTAATACTTTTATGCACAGGATAATGAGACAAAACTATTGGTGCAAAGAAAACGCATGATTGTTTATAACAAAAAGTGCATTGCAAATTACACATTTTTTATCATAAACAATCATACGTTTTCTTTGCACCAATAGTTTTGTCTCATTATCCTGTGCATAAAAGTATTAGGGTAAGACTACCGAAAACTAAATATTTTACGAGATATTTTGCATTTTATATCGAAGTACTGCAAACTTTGAAGTCTTATAACTCAAAAAGTATTTAATGAAAAAACATTTGTCTGTAGTGTTTTGGAAAGCTCTCGAGATAAGCTACAAGAATATGTAATGAAAAATAGTGGGTTCAATTTAAGAAATTGAAGGTGACTTTTATGTGACCTTCAAATGACTTTCCAAGGTCAAACCAATGCTACCATCTTATGTCCCCCTTCACACCCTATAATTTTTGTTTGAAACATTTCTTTCTGAAGAGTGCTGTTTTCGAGATATTCGAGTGCATCGATTAAAATGGCCCACCGTGTATATATATACAGGGTCTCATTTTAATTTCCTTAGACAAATATTTCGGAAAATAATGAAAAATCGAAAAAGTGTTTCAAACAAGTTGTATAATTTCTAGGGAGACATAAGATAATACATTGGTTTGACCTTGAAAAGTTATTTGAAGATCACATGAAGATCACCTTCAATTTCTTAAATGGAACCTACATTTTCTCATTACATATTCTTGTAGCTTATCTCGAGAGCTTTCCAAAATACTATAATAAAATATTTTTTCATTGAGTACTTTTCGAGTTATAAGGCTTGAAATCATTTCTTAATTTTACATAATCCGTAATATCTAGTAAAATATTCATTTCTCGATTATCTTGCCTCAATACTTTTATTTTTATGTACAAAATAATGAGAGAAATCAATTGGTGTAAAAAAACACATAGTTGTTTCAAAGAAAAAATATGGAATTGTTAATTGCAAATTAACAATTCCATATTTGTGACAATTTATCCATCACATTTTCCAAGTGTTTAATTCACTTCACAACAGATTGAGTTTTACCATTGAATATTCTAATAATTGTAGTATAAATTTCTTGGACACTACTATTATCATTAACAAGAATTACATTGAATTCAATTGGTACAGGACTTTTTCAGGGAGACTTCTTTCATTTTTTTCACCCCACCCTCTGTCACATAAAAGAGGAATGGTTATCGGCTTGACTGACAGGATTTTTAGACTTTCACATCCGCGTTTTCATAACGATAATTTTTCTTTTATCATCTCAATTTTATTGAACAATGGTTATCCGATACATTTCATTTTTCAAACGATTACTCAAAGACTCAAGTTTTTAATTTTTACTAAGAGCAATGACGTTGACTCGCATTTCCATACTCCCTCCTCTCCTACTCTTTCTCCTTTTTTCACCATTCCTTTTTCCTCAAGTTTTCCCAAAAATTTCATTTCGAATATCAAGAAATATACGAATAGAAGATTAGCTTACTCTGTGAACAACAAACTGAATTCTCTCGTCAGATTGCATAAGGATCCTTTACCTGATCTCCACCATTCTAATGTCATTTATAAGATTAGCTGTCTAGATCGTGATGCTTCTTATGTGGGTCAGATGAAGAGAAAACTAATAACTAAGATCAAGGAACACCGCTCTGATATCAACAAGACATCGGGATCTCTCTCGGTTGTGTCCCTTCATAGAATGGAGGGTCATGAATTTGATTGGGCGAACATCTCCATTTTAGAAGAAGAACCGGGATATAAAAAGAGACTAATTGCGGAAATGTTACATATTTCTAATCAGAATCACGGTATAAACGTCCAGAGTGACACGGAGTTCCTGACAAGATATATTTGCCAATCATAAAGAAATCCTCACAATGATTTCTTCGAAATGTTACCTTTCATCATTTCTTTATCCTTCATCCTGATGGGGATATCTCTCTTTCTCCCTCTTTCCTTTTTTTGGGATCTTGCGTCGCCTCTTTGCGTTCTCGTATCTCTCAGTCCGGCGCTGTCGATTAGAGAGTTTGTGTCGTGCCTGTATTGCTCTCTCCTCGAAGGATTTCCGTATTCTACTTACCTTCATTTTAGGGAAGGGTACGCATTTTTAACTATTTCTAATCGTTTCACATCGTATTATTCTTTGTCTTACTTTTGTAATTTATTCTTTATAACTTTTTTATTTTTTTTATTTTAATAAATTGATTCCCGTATTATCTTTTGGGGGTTTTTAATGTCATTTAGGGGGGTTTACACATTTTTTGCTGTTTTTCTCTTTTATAGTATGCCACCCTAATTAAGGTTTAATCAGAACACATTAGGCTCCATTGCATTTTGGCTGGTCATCGACCTAGGCATCTTTGACTGCCTTGTATTAATGAGATGTTTGTGGACCTTGTGACTGGGTTTCCTTGCCGGCGTGCGTTTTTTCGAGGGTGAAGCGATGGTTTTTGTCATGGCACACCAAGAATTTGGATCATGGGTTTGCTCATCATTGCGTTGCGCTTTTTGTGCGTTTAAATTCGCCCGTTATTTGCGTATTTGACTTTGACTTTTTTGACTCTTTTATCACTATTTATTTTGCTTTGCGTCTTTCCGTCACTTATTATTTGTTATGTGAGGGTTTTAATGAATTCACAATCAGGCTGGGAAGGAATACAACTGATAGTTTTATAAAGACTTAAGTATATGGTATATCCTTACACGTACGTATAACCGTCTATTCCGTCTCTTGTTGTGCGTACTCCTTGAGCCTAATCCACAACACCTCCCCTTTTAATTGCATCTTGCCATACAAACTAAACAAAGTAGTACTTATTCCTAACTTACAGATAGATCACATATTTGCCTACATTATAATTAAATTTTTTTTTTTTTTTTTTTTTTATTATAACTTAATCCTATTGTGAGAGTTATTATCGTTATCGATTATTACTGTATTTATTTCTATTTCATATATAAATAATCTTTAAATTTTTCTGGTTTTTTAACTGTGCGTCCAGCCCTTGTTACATACTGTGAACCTTCCTGCTTACTCCCATTAGATCTGATCTTTTCTTTTCCACCAACTGAGTTATTACTTGCATTCTCAATATCACCCGTTCTCTGTACTGACACTTCCGTTTCATTTTTATCAGATAACTTTTCTCTTGAATTTATGTGAATGTTATTTCTATTATATACTCCTCCTTTCTCACCTTGAACTACATATGATCTTGGAGTGGATCCAATTGCTTGGACTGTTCCTGGAGTCCATGTTGCTTTGGGCATTTTTTGAAATAATATTGGTTCTCCAACTTTGAACTTAGTCTCTTTTCTAGCTGTTTTGTCATAATACTATTTTGATAACATTTTATTTTGCTCTAATATTATTTGATCCTTCTTATACGTTATTTTAGGAATTAACATTTTGAATGAGCACGGAATGTTGGTTCGTAAATTTCTACCCATTAGAAGCGAAGCAGGAGAATGGACTTTATCGCGAGGCGTATTTCTTAAATTTAACAGAGCCAAATAAGGATCCTCTCCAGCATCGAATGCTTTTTTAAATAGTTTCTTTATTGATTTAACCGCACTTTCTGCTAATCCATTAGATTTTGGATAATGAGGACTAGACATAATATGGGTAAAACTCCAATTTTTTGTAAATCGTTTAAACAGTTCAGAATCAAAGCATAACGCTCCATCCGTGTATAGTATCAACGGTATGCCATGTCTAGCAAAAATTGTCTTCAATTTCTCAATGACTGTAGAACTTTTCAAATCACTTAACGATACTACCTCAATAAAATTTGATAATGAGTCCACTACTACTATATAGTATTTCTGATTTAACTCAAATATATCACAGCCTACCTCTGCCCATGGCAGCTTTGGAACTTTTTTGTATCTCATTATCTGTTTAATTTGACCATTTTGAAATTTCTGACAACTTTTGCACGACTTCACATATTTTTTTATGTCCTGATTTATTCCTTTCCAATACATCGTCATTTCAGCTCTTTTGATCATTCTATTTATGCCAGGATGACCTGTGTGCAGCTTAGTCAGCATGTATTTTTTTAAGGCTGTTGGAATTAAAATCCTATCCCCTCTAAAGATTATTTCTTTAATGACCACTAACTCCTCTTTGAATTCAAAAAACGGTTTCACCTTCTCCTCAATCTCTTTATAATTTGTAGGCCATCCTTTCAAAATGTATTGTTTTACTTTTGTTAATAACGAATCCTCTAGATAACCTTGTGAAATTAGTTTCCAATTATCCTTTGTTACCGGTATATTTTCAATTAGCATTGCTATTTGCTTTTCTATGTCTTCATCAAAGTCCTTTTGACTATCACTACTATCACAACTAGTTCTTGAAAAATCTCTGGACAATGTATCCGCAATGTACATATATTTGCCTGGAACATGTTTAATGGTCAGACGAAACGGTTGAAGTCTCAACATCATTCTTTGTAATCGCGTTGGAACTTTGTATAATGGCTTATTGAAAATTCCTACTAAAGGTTTGTGATCTGTTTCCACTAGTATTGCATCTCGTCCCCAGATATATTGTCTGAATCTCTCAACCCCAAAGCATATTGCCAATAATTCCTTTTCTATTTGTGAATATCTTGTTTGTACTTCGGTTAATGCTCGTGATGCATATGCAATAGGCTGACCCTCTTGAATTAATGTAGCCCCCAATCCTATCGAACTTGCATCTACACTTAACGTTAACTTTTTATTAGGATCATAGTATCCTAACACTGGGGCTTGAGTAATTAGTTTTTTTAATAACTGAAATGCCTTCCTTTGACTATCAGTCCATACAAATTCATTATCTATTTTTAACAAATCTCTTAAAGGGGCACAAATTGCTGAGTAATTTGGAATAAATTTTGACATATAATTAAACATTCCCAGGGCTCTTTGAAGTGATTGTTTATTTGTGGGATCTTTCATTTCTTTAATTGCTTTGATCTTTTCTTGACTCACCGACATTCCTTTATGACAAAATTTATGACCTAAAAAACTAATCGTTTCTGTACCGAAAATACACTTTTTTGGATTAAACTTTATGCCTTGTGCTCTGGCTGCTTGTAATACTTTAATTAGAACACTATGCAGTTCTTTTTTTGTACTTGCCCACAGTAGAATATCATCCTGAAAGGAAACCACCTTCTCAATATTTTCAAAAGTTTGTGAAATAATTCTATGAAAAATTTCTGGAGCACAATTTAATCCAAAAGGTAGCCTCTTAAAAGCATATCTTCCCCAAGCTGTTTGAAACGTACATAATTTAGAACTATTCTTATCAAGTGGTATCATCCAAAATCCCGATTGTGCATCTAACTTACAAAAATATTTAGCTCCCACCAATTTAGCTGCAATTTCGTCCATAGTAGGAAACATATAATGTTCCCTCTTAATAGCTTTATTTAACGGTTGAGGGTTCAGACAAATTCTCAAATCTCCATCTTTTTTACTTACTATAACCATCTGACTAACCCAATCCGTAGGTTCGGTAATTGGTTCAATAATACCCATTTTTTGCATTCTATCTAACTCTGCCTTTACATGGGGTCGTAATGCGTATGGAATTCTTCGCGCTGGTAATACTATCGGTGCCACTTTGGGATCTACTTTAATTGTGACTTATGTCGGTATATGTCCCACCTGACCATCAAACAGCTCCTTATATTCCGCAGGAACCCAGCAATCTCCATCCTTTGACACTGTCTCCACTCTGACAATGAATCCTAACTGTTCGCTAGTTTTTAGGCCTAGAATATTAAAACAGTCAATATCCACTACGTAAAATTCAACCAGACAATCAATATTCTTATATCTACACGGTACGTTACATTTGCCCACAACCGGTAGCCTATTTTTAGTAAAAGACGTAATTACTGACTTTGTTTTTACCAGTTTTTTAGGATTAATACCTAGCTGTATACATTGTTTGAGACTTAAGACATTAACCTGCGCACCAGAATCGCATTTAAATTCTACTTTTTGTCCTTTAACTAATAAACTTACAATATACCACTCCTTGGAGCTTTGTTTTGTATCGCAAACAGCTGAGACTTGAAGCTCCTCGACCATGTACTCTACGTCTTCGTCTTCCTCCAAATTTCTTTCTTCTATAGTATCCACCGGTCTCTTCTTCTCTGCTTGGCACACTTTAGCAAAGTGATTACGCTTGTTACATTTTGAGCATTCTTTTCCAAACGCTGGACATCTTCCATACCAATGTTTGTAGCTACAGTATTTGCACTCGATCTTCTTTTGTTGATTGATATTATCTCTTGACTTGTTTTTCATATCAATTCTGGTCTCCCCTGTATCTCTTCCTTTACTCTTCTTTAGCACTTCTATATTTGCTTCTTGTTTGATTGCCAGGCTTGCCTCTTCTTTATCATCTAAAGTTTTGATATTTTGAACTTGACCAGCTACTGTCACATGTGTTCGACAAATCTGAAGAGCTCTGTTAATATCAATATCAATCGTATTGAGTAGTTTTTCTTGGATCTTCTTGTCTCGTATTCCACTGATGAATGCATCTTTAACTAAACTGCCTCTTAATTCTCTTAATTCACATGTTAGACTTATATTTTTCAAAGCAGTCATATAATGTTCATATGCTTCCCCTTCTTCTTGCCGTCGATTGAACAAGAGATATCGTTGATATGTCACATTTGTTGCTGGTACATAATGTTCATCGAATTTTCTCAGTACTATCTCTAGCTTCTTTTTATCTTCGTCATTTAGTTGAAAAGATTCAAACACTTCCGCAGCATCCTCCCCGCCGAATGTAGTAATATGGCTACTTTTCTACTTTCCGTTGCCTCCTCGTAATAAGCATTGACAAATGTAAGAAACTGTCTCTTGAATTTTCTCCAATTAATTGCCATATCACCAGCCGTGCACAATGATGTTAATTCAACACAACGATCCCATTGTAATCGTTTCCATTATGATTATTTTTTAGGTTAGTTCGTTTTCTTTCTCTTTTCTATGTCTGTTCTTCAATTTACACCGCTGTCACCATGTTATATGAGGGTTTTAATTCACAATCAGGCTGGGAAGGAATACAACTGATAGTTTTATAAAGACTTAAGTATATGGTATATCCTTACACGTACGTATAACCGTCTATTCCGTCTCTTGTTGTGCGTACTCCTTGAGCCTAATCCACAACATTATTAATGACCGTTATATTGAATTTTATTTTTGCTTACTGGTATTTTGCGATTTGACATTGATAAGGACCCGAATTGGGTCGAAACGCAGCGTTTGTCACTTGATTTAAATAAAAGTTTTATTAGGTTATTATACTAATATAACCGTTTTTATTTTCGCATCTTTTACCTTTGCGTTGGTCCCTTAAGCCTTTTATGAAATTTTGTTGATTTATCGTACGGACCTTTACTGTATTTAGTTTAATAAAAATTAAGATTGTGACGACCCCCTCGCGTCATCACTATAAATAAGTACCTTGTATATAGTATTGTTAAATTGTTCCTCAGTTATATATTCTATTCACTCATTGTTCATATTATTTTGTTCATGATTTATACTGTTCCTGAGTTTATAAAATAAAGATGTTAAATGGAACAGTTCCCTGCGTGTGAAGTGAATTCCTGACCCTAACTCGACGCCTCTGGCACCCACCCGCGATTCCGCCTATGGACGTCCCCACCTAGTCTCACTCCCTCCCAGATGCACGCAAGCGTGGGAGATCCTCGAGCAGTATATAAGCCGGCTCGCGCGACAGACCGATACCTATTCCTCTCAGTTTCCGACCCGATCAGAACCTCGGGAAATAACCGAGGTCTCTCATCTTGACCGTTCCCGCCGACGGAGACGGGAGTGACCTCTCCGCTGCCTGGGTTTGCCCGGCATTCGGCCTCCTGACCGTTCCCGCCGACGGAGACGGGTGTGACCTCTCCGCCGCCTGGGTTTGCCCGGCATTCGGCTTTCTGACCGTGCACGCCGACGGAGACGGGTTTGACCTCTCCGCCGCCTGGATTTGCCCGGCACTCGGCCTCCTGACCGTGCACGCCGACGGAGACGGGTTTGACCTCTCTGTCGCCTGGGTTTGCCCGGCACTCGGCTTCCTGACCGTGCACGCCGACGGAGACGGGCTTGACCTCTCCGCCGCTTGGGTTTGCCCGGCACTCGGCCTCCGCGCACCGCCGTACGGTGAACTCCGCGATCGCGACTGACCGCCTAGGCTAAGCTACCTGTAGTCGTCCATAGACTAAGTTAGTAATATAAGTACTTGCGCACCGTCGTAGAATAAGCTCTCGCTATTCGGATAAGTTCTCGTAGGATAAGTTCTCGTAGGATAACCTGTGTAACCCTATCTAGGATAAGTAGTTGCCTAATAAAGACTGGTTTCAAATAAAGAGGACTCGCAAGCTTGACTCTCCTACCTACTCCCGAATCTTAGAACCGGCGAGCCAGTCTGTGGCGATCGGGATAGGCCGTACCGTTACAAGATTAAGATAAGATAATCGAAAAATGTGTATTTTACAAGATATTTTACGGTTTATGTAAAATTAAGAAATGTTTTCAAGCCTCATAACTCAAAAAGTACTTAATGAAAACTAACTTAATTGTAGTGTTTTGGAAAGCTCTCGACATGAGCTACCAGAATATTCAATAAAAAATAGGTAGTTCCATTTAAAAAATTAAAGATGACCTTCGTGACCACGTGACCTTCAAACGACTTTTCAAGGTCAAACCAATGACGCCATCTTATGGCCACCTTCAAGCCATACAACTTTTATCTGAAATATTTCTTTCTAAAGTGCATAGTTTATGAAATATTCGACCGTCCCGGAACTTTTAGTAGGCATTGCATAATTCTGTAAACATAATTATGTATGGATTTTGAACCTGATCCAATCATATATATATTGTAGGAACTTAAATTATATTAACGACTCATTGTAACGGTTTCTGACTCTAGAATATTCTAGAGTGTTTATGTTTGCTAAAGAGATCGACTTTAAGGACGAGCTGACATGACAGCGGCAAAGCAAACACGTGTAATATTATATCTTGAGAATATACAAGAAATAATATACTATAAAAAATAGTAAAAGTACATCCTGAGAATACACAAAAAATAATGTATGTACTAATAAGAGATATTCAAAGTATATCTTGAAAATATGTATACAAGAAATAGCGGTGGGCGGGGTTTACTCACCAACGTAATGCTGAAGCGCCGCGCGTCGCCATCATGTTTTGGAGAGCACCCTATCCGCCACTTTTTCACGTGCCTAGTATCAAATTACAGTGGGACGGCTTTTCTCCCGCGCACTTCTAGTCATCACGCGCATTAGCAGACTTTTTTTAATTAATGACTTTTTAGTTCAGTTTAATAAGATTTATTTATGGTTTTTCTTTGTTACACGATACCGGAAACACCCTGTATACAGATTATCTTTTTGTATATCCGAAGTGTGAAAGTAGATCTCAAATTAAAAAAGAAAGTCCTCTACTGTTTTGCGATCTTCACAATAATTAGTGAGAAATTAATTAAAGAAGATCGGCAATCTGCGTGAAGCGGCGACGAGAGTTGTCAGACTGTGACCTTATACCAGGCGCGCGGTGCAGCAGTAAGGAAGGAATGGTAAGTGCGGAAAGCTTTTCCTGCTATGTTTATTTCAGAATAATTTTTCCAAAATAAAAAATATTTTTTTTATAAATAGTATATGAAAAATTTTAAAAATATGTAAAAATAAAAAACTTACTAGCTTTAAAATTTTATAGTTTAGAATAATTAAACGTAGTTCGCTTCTAGCTGAATGACACGGTATCAAAAATCACATTATGTTAAAAATTTTTACTTAGTATGAAAAAATGTATATATGTATATGAACTTGAATATGTTATCAAAATCTGCAATGTATAAAAGTTATTTAAAAACATACTTTCAAATCATAACTTGAAAGACGAATATCTTGACAAATGACGTATTACATATACAGAAAAAAAAATTCTGTTATTCTTATCTGCTCTATGACACTAAAATATTATTTACTTTTCCCACGACAATCTGTATCATTTTTTAAAAATTTGTATTTCACTTTTATACTATTTTTTCTAAGGAACGGGAAAAAAATAAAAATTATTATTAATAAATAAATTTATTTAAAAAATACATCATTAATCTTCCATCGAATTGCATATTTGTTGAAGAACACGCATTCCATCTTCGAATTTATGATATCTGTATGATGACTTCAATGATAGTCCAATAGCAAATTTTTCCACTAATATTATTTTTCCATCTTCTTCTTCTGTAAAATTCCAGATATTGCGAAAATAGATTGTTTGAAGGAAATTATTAATAAGCATCGAATTGGTCCAAACACACACATAAACCTATAAAAAAATGATAAAATAAATAATAAATGATAAAATTAGATTTTATTAATGTAAATATGAAGAATAATATTTGTAGATATTATATACTTTACATATATTCTTTACATGTATATATTTTTTAAATAAAACAAAAAGTTAATATTTTCCAATTAAAATATCATAATATTTTAAATAAAATATTTTAAATAGTAATCAAAGGATCAATAGAAAAATTGTAGTCGACCAAACTAGCCAAAAAATTAAGTTTATTAATACGACGTTTCGACCATGTGGTTGTGGTCCTTATCAAGTATACACGATGTAATAATAATCAGAAGACAACATTAATGGTGAACATGTAAAACCACGTAATCACGTAATACAAAAAACGTTATTTAATTAAATTCAAATTTGAAAGAAGCTGATGCGTCCATGTGAGACTTCGTCAATAAACCGTTTATTGACGAAGTCTCTTTTATTGACTTAACTTTTATGTACAAAATAATGAGAGGAATCAATTGGTGTAAAGAAAACACATAGTTGTTTCTAAGAAAAAATATGTAATTTGCAATTAACAATTCCATATTTTTTCTTTGAAACAACTATGTGTTTTTTTTACACCAATTGATTTCTCTCATTATTTTGTACATAAAAATAAAAGTATTGAGGCAAGATAATCGAGAAATGAATATTTTACTAGATATTACGGATTATGTAAAATTAAGAAATTACTTCAAGCCTCGTAACTCGAAAAGTATTCAATGAAGAAATACTTTATTATAATGTTTTGGAAAGTTCTCGAGGTAAGCTACAAGAATATGCAATGAAAAATAGGAGGTTCCATTTAAAAAATTCAACCATTGACCTTGCCCTGATCTTGACGACACCACTCAATGTCAAATGGATATTACAGTCAAATACATCGTTTTAATCCTTACAACTTTTGTCTAAAGCATTTTGTTCTAAAATGCATTCTATATAAAATATTCGATTGTATCCAGACTTTTGGTCCACCCTGTATATTACATACTATATGTTATATTAGAAGAAAATTATAATAACCGATAGCATCTATAATAATCTATAATAGTCAATTTTGTTGTATTTATATTACATATTTATATGAATGATTAGAAGCTGCAAATTCTGCTCGGGATATGCTGCCAATCTGCCGTCAGATTACGCGCTCGCAGATCTTGCTCGGTTTTTGCTGACAATCTGCTGTCAGATTCTGTAAACAGGTTTTGCTAGCAAATCGTGAGCCTATTGCAGACATAACGGTCGCCAATCTGCTAGCAAATTGCGCGCATTTTGCTTACCGAGTACTTACATTCATTTTTAAAATTCGTGAACATGATTTCATTGAATGGGATATCAAAGCACAAGTTCTAGCAATGTGCATAAATGAAACATTTTTAACAGCTTCATCATTGAAGTAATTATCCAAATCGTCTATCAAAAGCACAGAAGGTACAGCTGCATAAGTATGCAATTTCACAAGTTGTTCTATAAAAGTTTCATAAGCTGGCAGATATCTGTAAATAAATATTAAAATGATACGTACATGTATATATTAATAATTGTATTGAATATAAAGTATTAAAGTTTTTATATTATTTATTCTCAAAAAAGATACATTATATTAATAAATTTCCTATTATAATTTGTATATACGTGTATGTATATATGTAAAGTTTTCCATTTTAATAGAAACAGTTACGTATCTCTTAAACTTGATAAAAAATATAATTAATATAATTAATATAATATTATAAAATATAATTAATATTATATTATATAATATAATATAATTAATATAATATTATATAAAGAGAAAATTATAATTATTATTTAATTTAATAGAATGAATACGCCGGTGCACGCGGTTCAATCGCATTTTAACTCCGTTAAAGAAAGAAATGAAAAATATATCGATATCGATATTAAAGCGCGCAAGATGTGTATAGAGACAGCGCGATGTCCCGCGCGGTATATAGCTGTCTCGCTCGCACTCTCTCGTTCGAGCGCCGAGCGAGAGAGAGACGGCTATCGGACACCACTAACTCGATATCACGTCTCATAGTGCTTTCTTTCTCGCTCTTATGCCGTGCGCGAAGGACGGATTGGAATGCTCCCCACTAATCTACTCCCACTTTCTCTCCCGCTGCCCGGCTCGCGTACATGCGCGCTTCGCTTGTGTGAGTGTGACATCAGTGAGCGTCAACACAAGCATAGCGGGACACCAGTCCTGCCGGTGCGTGTACATGATACCGAAAATTATGTGAAATTCGTAAAACTTCTTTTGTTTATAACTTTTTAATAAACAACGAGGAACAGCTAAAATCTTTTACATGTTACTTAGGATAGTGACCTTGATAACATATGTCAAGGTAAAGCTCATCGGAGATGAATCCCCTAATATTAACCTTTACCTTTTATCTATATATTTCATCTGTTTATATATATTATTAAATAGTAGCGAATTATAAAAAATATTTCATTTATATTTGTAATAAATATGGAACACTCTGTATAGGAAATATATAAATCTTACATAAATCTCATTAGATCGAGAGTCGCAACTGCTGGATTATTTCTATCATGACAAACAACTGGTCGTTTTGCTAGAGGGCTTGGCGTAATATAAACGACACGATGTCCCTTTTCTGCCCAATATATTGCTGCCTGTATAAAAAAAAACCTATTTTTAAAAAATCGAAAATATCAATATATATAAATATCCAGACAGCACATAAATATCCGAAGGACATCTATAAGAGGATCATTAAGGATATTGAGGATATCCACAAATGAACCGTTTTACATTCTTCGGACATTCAATGGACGTCCGTGGTATATTTGTTTATGAAATTGGTGGACATGTTTTAATTCCTAAATAATAATATAATTTATCCATTTTATATAAATTTTTACGTAAAAATTTCATATAAAAATTTTATTTATAATTTATACTTGCATATTGCATTTTACATTTTAAATAGATAATGAACGGATTATTTTCGTTTATTCGCCGGACATTTACTTGTCCGACTTATAAAATCAATTTAATATCTGAAACCCGCGCATTTAGATCAGAAATTAAATTGAACAGTATATTTTTAATCTTATTTGTTACCTTTTGCAAACTTTATATAATTCTCATAACTAAAACTTAAATACGAGAAAGATAGCGCATCGCACGTCGCGTAGCGGTAAACGAATGAATTATTAACACATCTTCGCGTGCTCGCGCGGAACTTTGATCTCCAAGACCGGACATCTTGTGGACGTCCAAATATTCGCCGTTAACGGATGTCTCAAATCGGATGTACGATGGACGTTCATTTTATGTCCATGGACGTGCGGACGTAAAATGAACATAAAATGAACATAAAATGAATGTCCATAGGATGTCCTGTGCTGTCTGAGTGAAAAAATATATAATAGACTGGTTTAATGTTAAAATATTGATAGTTTCATAATTTATATTAAATTAAAATAATTTAACGCCTATGCTTTTTGTCACTCATTGTTTATTAAAGTTATTAATAAATGGAAATTCATGTAAAGTAAGTTTTAAATGTAGATTGTTACATACAGAATAAAAAAAACTTAATATATTGAACACACTCTGACGCAAACTCTGTCATAGATTCTCCCAAATTAGGTTGAACAAAAAAACAGAAAGATTGGGAAGCTAGAGAAACTTCCCACTAGATGAAAAGCATCCCATCTCCTGTAAAATAGTAAATTGCACCTAGTAGTGTCAAACCTCGGATAAAAAAGGCAAATTTTATGGAATAACAACTCGCAAAGACACGAAAGAAAGAAAAATAGAAATCAAACAAATACCTTGACTGCTAGAATATACACATTTTGGAATAATAAAAATTAAGAAGTCCTGATGAAAATAAAAGAAGAAATAAAAGATAATAAACATTTACCTGTTATTTGAAACAAAAAAGCAAAGAAAGCGCTAGATTTCAAGATTATATCCATAATGTAAGAAAATAAGGTGTACCATTCCCGACGATGCGCAGTAATTCAAAATAATGACTGCCCTTTGACCAATTAGAGATTTGCCTCAAATCATGAAATCAACATTTCTATTAGCAATATGGCAGATTAGTTATTAAAGACCGCCGTTATTGTTAAAATACGATATTTTACTTTTTTGAAAGAGAAACAAAGATGAGATTGAAGTATTTGAAGAATCAGAAAGTGAAAAGAAGCGAAAAGAAGGACTCATTTCTTATTTATTTAGTTCAATTTAGGTAAGTAAAATAAAAATTATTTAAATTTAAATTTCTCGGTATAAGAACCAGATGCGAATAACAGTACATCAGGTTCATGGAAAATTAATTTTTCGAAAATAATTAATTATGTACTATTAGCACTTTAATCACTTTAAATAATTAATTACTTTAAAAAAATTAATTTTCGATGAATCGCTAACGCACTATCCGCATCTGACTTTTATTTACCGTGAAATTCAAATTTATATTTCACATATAAAGCCATGATTTTTTAATTATTAAAAATTATTTAAATCAAGTCAACTATGCCAAGCTTTTTTTATGTACAACATATTTTATTTGCAGAAACAATGCCATCGTGTTGCATCAAATACTACACTAATCGCACATATTATACTAATCCAAAAGGTATCCCTCTAAAAATAAACCTTACAAAGGTAAAAAAAATACGCCAAGTATTATATATATATATATATATATATATATATATATATATATATATATATATAATCAATCTGCTTTAATACCGTATTTTCGGTGCAGAAATTCCGATCGATTCGAATTACTTTTTGTTTTAATCGGTTTTAATCGACCATTTTCGGTAGAGTTTATTAATGAAATACGAGTTGGCAAAAGATGTTTAATGCAATTCCAAAAGGATTTTATTATGCAATAGATCATTGCTGGAAATGTTTGTACATATACAAGAAAAATACTCGTCTAAAGCATTTGATGTAAAATATATATTAACAAAAAAATTAAATATAATGAAGATTTTTTAGGAAATTTCTTTTTATATACGATACAAGATCTATGGGAAGTGGATATGATCATCCTACACCTATGGAAATACAACAAAAATTGAAATGACATATCTTAAACTCAGAACACGTACTGTCGATGCAAAGAAATAGGAGGAGGATAATAACTGCAAATCATTTATTAATATGATAGATGTACATGGTCCAGATATACATAGTTTCATTAATTTAAAAAATCAAATAAGTGAAGAAGAATACTTATATATATTCCATACTTAAAACAAATAAAAGAACATAATATATAAGAAAAAGTTGCAGAAAGTATTATAAAAAATTTAAATATTTTTTAATTAATAATTTTCATAATTATTTTTTCATAATTTTTCATAGTTATATTTTATAGATATTATAGTAGGCTGGATCTATAAAGCGTTTCCCATGCTGACTAAAGTCGTAATTTTTTAACTTAAAACTTTAAACTCATTTAAAATTTCGAGAATGCGACTTTAAACAGCAATATTAATAGTTGAAATAAATTGTATTATATTAATTATCCACTTTTCTAGTGCTAAATTTAAATAATTACGAACCTGGTCCTGATAAAATAAAATTACTAGAAGATTTAACAGGTTACTTAACAAGAAATATTTTCTGCCTAAAATCGTGCCATAATCAAATCTATCTTACACGTAAAACTGGTAATCTGAGATTTTATTTTCCAATATTTTTTTACAGGATTATTGATAATTTTCGAATGTATGGCATTTTGAATAATCGTAGATATAACTTATCCATTCCATCTTGTACCATTACAACAGACAAAACATTTGACGTTGGAAAGTATTTCGAAGAAAATCTAAAATCTTTAATTCGTAAAGCTATTCATGAATTTAAAGTGAGAAATTCTCCAAAAGATTGTGGAAAATGTTATCAAATTACAGCAAACTGCCTTATCATTACATATCATTTGCTAACGAAAGCGAGTGAAAAAAACAAGTTCAATTTTGCAAATTGATAACTGACATGTTTCAAAAATGAGAAACTCGATAAAAAACAGAATATTTTTATGGATGAAGTTCATTTTTGGTTTAATGGATATGTTTAAAAGCAATTATTAGTTTTGGGGAAAAGTAAGTCTAAATGTGTAAATTGTTATTCCTCTCCTAAAAAACTGATAAATAATATTAAAAAATACACTCGGAACATTTCTATAAACATGTTTGATAATGTGTTTTAAAGTTTCCGATTGTATAATTGTGTGCTAATTCAGATAGACAACACTTTGAAAACGTATATCTTTCTATAATATGTTACTTAAATTATTAAAATACTATATTAACTTTAAATTGTTAAAATATTATATATTTTTTTCATACATATGGTAATAAAACTGACAAGTTTCTTCTATAAAATGGCGTTTCATTTTGTTAGTCTACTCCTTGTGAAGTAATATATACAAGGAATTCCAGCTATCTCGCAACAAAGTAAAATCATAAGTAGATCTCGCTAAATTAAAAAATTCTATATCATTTTACAAGAACTACGTAAAATTTCGAGATATTAATTAAAAAAGATCAGCCAATGCGCGTGGCTAGAAGCGCGTGGCGGCAAAGGCGATCTTCCTATAACATAATGACAGCGCGTGGCGAAGCAATAATTGAAGAGGAGAAGAGCGATGAGTGTGTAGGCGAAGGCTCTTCCCCTCCCCAATCGTCACGCGCCGCCATTATGTTACAGTGAGCGGTCTCACTGCGCCTTCACCGCCACGCACATTGGCCGATCTTCTTTAATTAATTTTTCATTAATTATTGCGAATATCGCAAAATAGTATAAGACCTTTCTTCTTAATTTGAACCAATCTATCTTCACACTTCGGGACTGCGAAACATTTCCTGACACCCTGTATACTTTAATGCAGAGCTCGGCAAGAACTGCACATTTCGGCCGATTTTCAGCTGGCTCCGCCTAGCGCGTCCCCCCTTACCTCGCCGTCCCGCGCAAAGCCTACGAGTCGCTCGGCGCTCAGGAGCGGGCGTATGGCAATAGCTTTCCACGTCACCCATACTATTATCGACGCGTTTTTTTTAAGTGGTATCCCCAGTAGGCCTAATCCACTGATGACTAAAATGACTCTTTAACTAATTACATAAGACGATAAAGTTTATCACGTCTTATGCGATTCGCTACATGCCGTATGCAAATAAATGTTTCTGATCTCTCTTGTAAAAAATCCCGAAAGTCATAAATATTCATCATATCAATTATTATTTATAATTCCGTGCAATTAGTTAAAGGGTCGTTTCATCAGTGGATTAGGTCTACTGAGGATACCACTTCAAAAAAACGCGTCAACAATAGTACCTCATGGGTGACGTGGAAAGCTATTGCCATACGCCCGCTCCTGAGCGCCGAGCGGCTCGTAGGCTTTGCGCGGGACGGCGAGGTAAGGGGGGACGCGCTAGGCGGAGCCAGCTGAAAATCGGCCGAAATGTGCAGTTCTTGCCGAGCTCTGCTTTAATGACTACCTAATTACCTTTCCCCAAATAGGACCTTCCTTTTTAATTTGAGTCAATCTACCTTCACATTTCGAGAACTCGAAGTTTTCATACACTCTATATACAGGGTGTTTCATTTTAATCCGACCACCTAAATTTCTCGGAACCTAAGCAAGATAGAGAAAAATGTTTTAGACAAAAGTTGTATGGTTTCAAAGGGGATATAAGATGGTGTCATTAGTTTGATCTTGAAGAGCCACCTGAAGGACACGCGAAGGTCAGCTCCAACTTTTTAAATGGGACACCCTATATGCTTTTGCATATTCTTGTAGCTCATCTCAAGAGCTTTCCAAAACACTATAATTAAGTTAGTTTTCATTAAATACTTTCCAAGTTATGAGGCTTGAAATCATTTTTTAATTTTACATAAACCGTAAAATATCTTGTATCACCGTAGATTATCTTGCCTCAATACTTTTATTTTTATGTACAAAATAATGAGAGAAATCAATTGGTGTAAAGAAAACTCAGAGTTGTTTCGAAAAAAAATATGTAATTTGCAATTAACAATTACATATTTTTTCTTAAAAATAACTATGTCTTTTCTTTACACCAATTGATTCCTCTCATTATTTTGTACATAAAAGTATTAAGGTAAAATAATCGAAAAATGAATATTTTACAAGATATTTTACGATTTATGTAAAATTAAAAAATGATTTCAAGCCTCATAACTTGGAAAGTACTTAATGAAAACTAACTTAATTATAGTGTTTTGGAAAGCTCTTGAGATGAGCTACAAGAATATGCAAAAGCATATAGGGTGTCCCATTTAAAAAGTTGGAGCTGACCTTCGCGTGTCCTTCAAGATCAAACTAATGACACCATCTTATGTCCCCCTTGAAACCATACAACTTTTGTCTAAAACATTTTTCTCTATCTTGCTTAGGTTCCGAGAAATTTAGGTGGTCGGATTAAAATGAAACACCCTGTATATGAACAGGGTGTGAACATGTACGCAAAATTGAAAGTTGAAGAACCAAAGAAATATTCTAGTATATGATTATCATATTATAGATTGATTACCAATTTTATTCAAACTGTTGGCACTCGAAAGCTTGTACCTACATTGTATCAGAAAAGTGCTATTAGATTTTTCATTTGTAGTTTCAGTTCCTGAGATATTTTAATCGAAAGTTTATTTACCATAAAATTTCGGCTAAGCTACGATATATTGAAAACAATACTCTCAATGATCAAATCCAGTTCTTTTACATATTTGACATTGCGATGCTATCGTGTCACTTGATAAATTATATTATTAAAGTAATTATAATTATGAAAAAAATATAATTATATATATAAAAAATATAATTATATATATTTTTATATTATAAAATTATGCAAATATTTCAATGCTCTCTCATCATTACAAATTCCCCCCATTTATATGTTATATACATATCTTTTACACACACACACATTTGAATGTTAAACTTTTTATTTATTTCTAAAATAAGCAAATGAATAAGCTTCTAAAGTTATATGTATATTTACATTATTTGATATGTTAATAAAAACATACATATTATATCATAAGTTTTTTTTAAATATTTTTTATAACTATACTTTAATATAATTGATTTTTTGCAATTTTATATTTTTTTTTATGTATTTAAAAACATTATTTTAGAAGGCTATTTATACAGAGAATCTATAGCGAATTTTTTATAAAAATAAACATCTACACAGGATGTCCCATTTTAAAAGTTCCACCCTCATAACTTTTAATTTTGATTGTAGAAAAAAATGTTTCAGACAAAAGTTATATGGCTATTTTTAAGAAAAAATATGTAATTAGCAATTAACAATTATATATTTTTTCTTCGAAGCAACTATGTGTTTTTTTTCTTACACCAATTGATTCCTCTCATTATTTTGTACATAAAAGTATTAAGGTAAGATAATCGAAAAATGAATATTTTATTAGATATATTTCGGTTTATGTAAAATTAAGGAATGATTTCAAGCTTCATAACTCGGAAGGTACTTAATGAAAACTAACTTAATTATAGTGTTTTGGAAAGCTCTCGAGATGAACTATAAGAACATGCAAAAGCATATAGTGTATCCCATTTAAAAAGTTGGATGTAACCTTTACATGATTTTTAGGTGACTCTTCCATGTCAAATTAATGACACCATCTTATGTCCCCCTTCAAGCCATATAACTTGTCTGAAACATTTTTTTCTACAATCAAAATTAAAAGTTATGAGGGTAGAACTTTTAAAATGGGACACCCTTTATAAAAGAATAAAAATCTGTTATTTATGTACATACCTCAAACATAAAAGAATTGCTCAGTATTTTTGAACCACACAATAATGTTGTCTTGACATTTTTCGAGAACATTATTTTATATAATCACCTAAAATATAAATTTCTTTCTCAATATATATATATATATATATATATATATATATTGAGAATAAAACATTTCAATAACTGTCGAGGATATTAAAAATTTACTTTAGAGGAAAGAGTGTCCTATTGGACATAATTGTCAAAAATTATTTAAGGAATAATAAACAGTCAAAATTCTATGCTGATGATTTTTCGCAGTTCTAATGATAGTTCTTGACAGTTCTATAAGAGTTCCATATCTTAAAGACACTTTTCACATAGAATTCCGACTATTTATTATTCCTTAAATAATTTTTGACAATTATGTCTAATAGGGTACTCTTTCCTCTGAAGTATATTTTTCCTCTAAAGTAAATTAATATCCTCGACAGTTATTGAAATGTTTTATTCGCATATATACATAATACATGTTTTTATATAAAAACATCGAAAGATTTGAAAAATAAAATCGTCGCCCGATAATATAAAAAGAATTATTACATGTTAAAAATATCTCTTATAAAAATTAGAAAATTTGTTATATTAATGAAATAACGATATAAATACATGCTGCAATAAAAAAGTTCATGAAATTTGAATAAAAATAAACATTTCCAAGCATTTACTATTTATTGTTTATTGAATTTGTATTAAGTTTATCACCTAATTTTAATGCCATGGATTTCTATGATTATATAATTTCACATAGGTTTAAAACTTTTATGGAAAAAATGACATTCAAATGCTACAATTTTACAAATGTACAATTCTATATAGGTATACCTTTCCATATAAAGCAAAGTCTACTCATATCGACCAGTGCTTTCAGTATGTGATGAGATCTAACATTTATATTATATATCATCTTAATATTTATATAATTCCATATGGACTGCATCTTTTTGTATACTTTAGAAGTTTATTCTTGTATATATTTGAATTTAATATTATATTGAAAGTTGCAAATCCATATGGAATTATATATATATTTTATTTTATCATGCATTGAAAGCATTGATCAATATAAATCTTGTTTCATGTGGAAAGTTACAAACATATCATATAATTGAAATTGTATAAATATAAACCTCATCATATATTTAAAGCAAAGTTGAATGAATTTTGATTTATATTGACAGTCCCAAATCTATATAAGATTCTAGATGATCTAGAATTTAGATATGATTATAGACTTCATTGCATTTTATTGTATGTCACTTTGCATGGAATGTTATAAACTTGTGAAATTATACAATTATGGATTTCATTGCATTAAAATCACCATGATATGAACTTTACTAAATAATAAATAAACAAACAGTAAATAATAAACACATGGAAGTATTTATTTTCATTCAAATTTCATATAGCTTTTCATTACAGCATATCGCCAGTATTTCATTGTTTAGACAAATTTCCTTACTCTTACAAGGAGCATTTTTTACACTTAATGACTGTTTTTATATTGTCAAGTAATGATTATTTTTCAAATTTTTTTTATGCAAAAATGTATCGATTCAATATATTTTTATTAAAATTTAAATAGAGCAGATCAAATTAAGTATAAGTATTTACCAAAACTATGATTCTATTTGAGAAAATAAAAAGTCCTTTTTTTCTTCAATCTTCTAAGGAATCTAACAACTTACTTGTCATATAAAAAATTTTAGCTAATGTAACATCAAAGAAATAAATTTTACATTCAATAATTTCATTTAAAAAAATTATAAATTTATATAATTATAAATGTATATAATTTTTATGACAGCATACTTTTATATTTTTATGTTTGATATAAATTATTTATCTAAAATTTTTAAATCATTGAATTTTTTTCACAGTATTAAGCAATTTTACAAACCTTGTTATTCACACAAGATGTTTTTCATATAAAAAGATGTATTTTGAGGAAGTGCACTTCCCTCAAAAATTCAGATAAATAAATTTATTTTCTTAGATTTTGATCTTAATTAAAATAAAATATCATAATATGTTGTTTTGTATATAAAGGCTGCGGTCGGGAAGATGTTCTGGATGCTTTGAAACATCATTTTATCTTTGTTCTACATTCCATGAAAATAAAGATAGAATGATGTTTCAAAGCATCCAGATCGTCTTCCCAACCGCAGCCTACAATGCCTATGTTCCAAAATTCACTGCCAGCGCTGAAAATGGGTCTGTTCGTTTTAGCTGCACTGCTGCACTAGTGCTATAAGTTAGAAAGAGACAAACATACTTTCTTTTACTCTAACTAATTACATTAGTGCAGCAGTGCAGCTAAAACGAACAGACCCAATATATAATATACGTAACGTGAACTATAGATTTTCAGCGCTGGCAGTGAATTTTGGAACACGCCCAGGGACTACGTTTACACGCATGGACGTAAGAAATACTGGACAGAGCATAAAGTACTCTTTTAGACGAGGGGAGTGAAATCTGAGGGGTAAGGGGTTTATTGTCGCGGCCATCTTAAATGCATCAGATTTAGCGTCTATTTTCACGTCGCACGGACGTAAATCGAATAAAATATGAGAGATTCCGTGAAATCATCTATCATCTGAAATCGCTGTGTTATTCCGAATCATTTTTGAATATTAAGAAATTCAAAAATATCACTCCGTGAAATTAATATCCATCGCCATCTTACATGCCTCATATTCCGTTGCAGTAGACATTTCTTTCCCCTCACCCTTTGAGCTTCACCCCCGCAGCAATACACTTTGTCCAGTATTTCTTACGTCCATGGGCAATCCCCTTTGCCGCTGGTTTCCTTAAGGTCGCAGCACACACTTTTGCATAAGTGCATAACCATAAGCATAAGAAAATTGATTGGTTCATTTTCTTATGCATATACTTGGGGACCAATCAATTTCCTTATACTTATGGTTATGCGCTTATGCCAAAGTGTGTGCTGCGCCCATACATGGCTCATATCATACAATAATTACGAATTGGAAATTGTAAGTCAGAAAAACAAATCTCTCTCTTCTTTCTACTAGTTTATACCACAGTAGGTACCTTCCCAGCATCGACATATACACTGGACTGAGCATCGCGATAGACAGGCGAGGGCCCGCTGTAGAGAGAGAAGTTCTACATGGGAGGCCTATGTCTGTCTCTTTTGCTAGTATCTCATTGGTAATTTTGTTTCCTGCCTCGATGATTGGTCAATTTGCCTACGACTTACGATTTAAGCGGCCTTTTCATTGACGCTAAAGGCCGCAGCACACACTTTGGCATAAGCGCATAACCATAAGTATAAGGAAATTGATTGGTCCCCAAGTATATGCATAAGAAAATGAACCAATCAATTTTCTTATGCTTATGGTTATGCGCTTATGCCAAAGTGTGTGCTGCGGCCTTTAGCGTCAATGAAAAGGCCGCTTAAATCGTAAGTCGTAGGCAAATTGACCAACCATCGAGGCAGGAAACAAAATTACCAATGAGATACTAGCAAAAGAGACAGACATAGGCCTCCCATGTAGAACTTCTCTCTCTACAGCGGGCCCTCGCCTGTCTATCGCGATGCTCAGTCCAGTGTATATGTCGATGCTGGGAAGGTATCTACTGTGGTATAAACTAGTAGAAAGAAGAGAGAGATTTGTTTTTCTGACTTACAATTTCCAATTCGTAATTATTGTATGATATGAGCCATGTATGGGCGAATATTTCAAAAATCTAATCAATCAGAAAAGGAAATGCTCTTGGTTATCAATGCAATTATATAACAGCAAATATATATTAATAATAAGAATTATGTTATTATATAAAGAGGTATGTGCAAATTTATTATTAGTGATTCTTCCATACTTGTATTTTAAAGTTGAATTACTTCTTATTCATTATTTTATTTTACAGTTATATCAATGGAGATAAGTTAATTAGAGGTCTAGAGCTATCATGTTATTTATTATTCATTCAACGAAAGTATATCGGCACGTATCATGTAATTTTGTGCCCAAGTTTTCTATCATGGTTTGTACCATTTAACATTGAAGTTAATATAAAATTTGCTATACTGCTCTATATCACTTAAAGAAATTTTAATTCTAGTGTTCTGGCTTCCTAAAGCAAAAATCAATGAAAACTTTGCATATGGAAGAACAAAAACAAATGATGGATGAAAAATATGATCGATTGCAGATTAGTGCAGTAACAACAGTTCCTTTTCCTACTAAGGAAAAAGTTGCATATGAGGTGAAAAAAGATCCAGTAGAAAAAGTAGGAAAGTCAGAATGGAAATCTATAATGGTCAATTATACTATGCTTCATAAGCATTACCTTAAATTGTCAAAAATTAAATTGACATGTATGTAACAAACATATATATCAGATTTTTAAGCTGTAGTAAATTAAAATGTAACGTTCTAGTTAAAACAACATAGTACAATTAAGTCGTAATTATAATAAATATTTATTAAATTAATTATTTTACTTATAGCTCTTGTTGTAGCAACAACTATGGCAGGATATGCATTAGCTCCTGCACCATTTGATTTTTATACATTTACAATGTGCTCACTTGGCACAGGCTTAGTTTCTGCTGCAGCAAATACAATTAATCAATTTTTTGAAGTTCCATTTGATGCACAAATGTCACGAACGAAAAATCGAGTATTAGTATGTGGTCATTTGACGTGAGTTATTTTAGATTTTTTTCATTTTGAAAGGCTTAAATTTATATAATTAATTATTTAATTATATAATAGTCAATTATTATATATTAAATTATGTAATAATTTAATTATTTAAATGATATTTTAAATAATATAATTGAATATATTATTAGGCCTGCTCACGCAGTAGCATTTGCAACAATATCTGGTATTGTTGGATTATCAATACTCTACTATGAAGTGAACAGTGTGACAGCGATGCTAGGTTCTGCTAATATTATTTTATATACACTCTTCTACACTCCTATGAAACGGATCAGTATTGTTAATACATGGATTGGTTCTATCGGTAAGTATGTTTTCTATATGTATATTCTTCAAGTTGTAATTTTTTTTTTTTTAATAGTAGGAGCAATACCCCCTCTCATGGGCTGGGTAGCTTGCACTGGTGATATGCTCATGCCAGCTGCTTGGATTTTACCTGCTATTTTGTACATGTGGCAGTTTCCACATTTTAATGCTCTGTCATGGAACTTGAGACCAGATTATTCACGTGCTGGCTATCGAATGATGGCTGTTACACATCCAAATTTATGTCGTAGAACAACTGTAAGATATACAATAGCATTAATGACTCTGTGTTACTTAGCTCCTATATTGGATTTAACCCATTGGTGGTTTGCACTGGCTTCAACACCAATCAATGCATACTTTCTTTATTTAGGTAACATATATGCTTTGTATAATTTTATAAAAAATATATATATTAATATTATAATTTCATAAATAACTTTCATATCTAATTATCTATATTTAATATATATGTCACAAACTTTACAAATTCAAATTTTCTACAAAAAAATCTAAGTTTTTCTATGAAACAATAATGCATATTGAAGAATTTTATAATTAAGTACATTTTATAAAAAACATGCTACATATATATATAAAATATATATAACTATGTATATTTGTATGTATTTATGTTGGAGATATTTTAAATATTTAAATAATACTCTTACTTTTAGCCTGGAAATTCAATAATCATTCAGACAGTGCTAATTCTAGAAGATTATTTCGATTTTCGTTACTTCATCTTCCTCTATTGATGGTATTGATACTCTCGAGCAAGAAATATTGGACTAATAAGGAAAAAAAGGAGGAAAATATATCTCTTTATGAGAGGCTAAAAAAGAGTAGTTTACTAACTATTTTTGCATCTATTGCTTCAGCAACTTCTGTGTAATGGTAATTTTACATTAATAGACTCGTCAAAGAAATAGTACAAAGTTTTATTACATTATAAACTTTGGATTTATCTGTTTTTTTATAATTTCTCTCTTTTTCTCATTAATTATATAAAATTCAATTATATAAAACAGAACATAAGTTTAATCAAAACTAGACTACTTAAGTTTAATATGAAATTTAAAAAGTTAATAAAGAAAGATAAAATTATATAAAATAAAATTATGAAAATTTGTTCTTATAGGAAGATAATAACATTCACAGAGAACAAAATATATATAGTTTTATTTGAAATATCTTAACATAGCGTTATTGTATTTCCAATACTTTTACGTTTTGCTTCAAATTCTTTTGCCATTTGTCTCCTTGTTTTGGTTAGATTTCTGTGGCCAGCACAGTCTAAATTTTCTATGTAACATTTGTTTCTACAACATTGTCTACATAATTTATATTCACATTTAAAACCCTGCAATTTAAATTATGTACAATATTTCTCAAAATAGTGAAATGAAATGAATTATAAAATTTATATAGAGATTTAACAAACCAAAGGATTTGGACAAGTGAGACATCGATCTGAACTTCTCTTAGAAACAGAAGTTACCCTATTCGGTCTACGTGCTATTCGTTTAAGCTTTTTTGAACGTTTCCGCGATATTTCATTTCCATCCTCGTCTTTGTATTCCCTCTTTCGAAATGCATCTTCCTAAAAACCCATATTGTTATTTTCAAGAAATATTAAATTATGGCGTAATGAAAAAATATTGCATATGAATATATGCTTGTTTACCTGTGATTTTTGTATATGTTCTTGTGGAGGTTCTCGTACATAAGGTTGACACAACCATGGCGGTAACTTCAAATTGTAATCTATAAGAAATATTAAAAGAGACATATGTATAAATATAAATATAATAAATACAAATCATGTTTATTTAAATATCAAATTATTGCCTGTCTTTTCTGTTTGCCATGTCAGATGTCCTTCATGATATGGTAAATAACGATCTCTTAAGGTATATACAACATTTTTGAAAGCTTCCATGCTCGAGTTTGTTGCCAAATTCTCTCTCTCCTCTCGATTTTCTGTTAAACAAAATCTACTCTCTAATTAAAAGCATGCTGTTTGCAATGAGGAATTATGAGATACAATTCATGATTGCTATGATTAAGAATCTAGTCTACTTTAGAGAGTCAAAAAAATCAATTTTTTTATATTCTCTGAAAGTATGATATTTGAAAAGTGTCTCAAACTTTAGTGAAAAATTCACAAAATTAATGGAGTTATAAGACTTTGAACAAAAACGTGCGCATCTTCAAATAGTAAAACTTTAAGTGCACTTTTCCCAAAATATTGCTTTCAAAGTTAGTGTGTCTGATATCATGAAAATTAATAATAAATAATTTCAATTTTTTTAAAAAGAATACTTTTGGGAATACTAATTAAAATTTTAAAAAATTATTATAATATTTAATATTTTCTATCCTTGAAAAAATAGAAAATTTTCACAATTAAATTACCTAATTTAAAATACCTTTTTTTTTTGAGTTTAGTATCCAAAAATATCTTACGGAATAAAACTAGAATTTTTTTTTCATTTTTTTTCATTTCAGACAATTACTCGAAAAGTAATATAATGCACTGCTGAATTATACATTTATGAGCACGTTTTACACACAAAGATTTATATATATGGTATATATAGCGGAGTTTGTGTATATATTGTATAATATATATAGTAAATTTTGTATATAATGAATAAAGAAAAGCTAAATATCTAAGGTTTAAAATATATGCTGACGTACTGTTTAAATTTCTATGAAAACAATTTCAATCAATTTTTAATATTTTCAAAAAAAATTTGCTTAAATTAATTTTTTATTAATCCGCTAGAATAGACTGTAGAATAGTAGATACTAAAAGGTCAATACGTACACATGATGGAATAACTTAAATAAGTGACCGCGAATATATGAAGCTGGTGCTGGATATTGTTCTACAAGTTCTAAATACTCCAGAGCAGGCTCCCAACAAGCGGGATATCGAGATTCGAATATATATGGATTATAAAGATTCCCTTCGGCTGACATCACACCCTGCACTTGGATCTCTTCAATGCATCTTTGTAAATCTTGCATACATTGTATGTTACCATTAGCGATCACGGGAATTTCCACAGCATCTCTGATTTAATATAAAATAATTTGTTAACCGCTTATAATTATATATTTATTTTACTGTGTCAAGTTAATAATGATAAAAAAAATGATAACAAAAATTGATAAAATAATATTTATGTAAAATATTAAAAATAACATTTAATTAAGAATTTGTTTTATAAAGAAATTAAAATAAAAAAATATTCTTTTTCTCTCTGTCTTCTTTTACTTTTCTTCTTCACTGTTTTTTTTCACTTTTTTTCTTTTCTGTTACATTTTCTTTTGTTCCTTTTATCATTATTTTTTCTCTTTTTCTCCATTTTGCATATATATGAATCATTCTTTCCAGCATGACTAATTATTATAATGATATACACACACGGAAAAATTTATCTAATAGATATTTAATAGATATAAATGTCTAAATTTCTATATGAAATCCATATCATCTATAGATAGATAGATCTCTATAGATAACTAGTAAATGTACATATTATCAATTCTAAATATTTCAAGAATCATGTTTCTCTGAATAAAGACAAAATGCGTTTTAATTCCTTAGGGAGAATTTATGTATAATATTTCTACAATGTAAGATTGATTTTATGGCAAATATTATTTCAAATTTACAAATTGCTTATAAATTACTTTTAAGTACTTGACTAATTGTAATTATTTTATATTTAGTTTTGATATTTTATTTTTTAGTATTTCTTTAGGAAAATTATTTTTTGAGGTTTTATTTTTTAGTATTTTTTATAGAAAAATTATTTTTTGGGATTTTATTTCTTGAGGAAAATAATTTTTTGAATGAAAATTACAGTAAATTATTAAAGACCTTTTTAGTTAATATATATTGATTATATATTGTGGAAAAGAATAAATTTCTTGCTCATTTACGATTTCTAATTTTTTATAACTGTATTGAATTATGATGTCAGAAATCATGGATTCTTTTTATGCAATCTTTTTGACTTATTCTTTTCCTATATTAAAAAAATAAATTATTTTTTTTATATAACATTACATTCACATTTGATAATATAAATTATTATTAAAATCCTTCAAATATTGATAAGTTAATAAATAGTTAATAAATAAGTTAATAAATAGTTATAAATCTTGATCAAAAATTTATTTTTGCTGACAACATAGCAAGCAGATTAAGTTATATTTGTACATTTATCAATATAAGATAATGAAAAAAAGTTTTTGATATACTTTAATTATATTTATATTATCGAATGAGGCACAACAATTATTTTAAAGCATAATGTAAAAAGAAATTTTGTATATTTTCTCATAACTTAATATAACTATCTTTAAAAATTAGAGACTAGTATTGAATCAATGAAGAATAAGAAGGAATACCTTACGGCTTTAATATGTTCCCAAGATGCTAATCCAGTTAATGGTCCCTTTTGCTCTCTCGTACGTCCATGAATAGTAAGTAAGCTAGCACCTGCATCCTGTAGCATACGAGCATATTCCACAGTACGATTGATTTCTGAGAACACTCGTAATTTACAGGTGACAGGTATATGCAATCCATTCTTTAAAGTCGACACTATATACAAGAAATATATCATTATTAACATATGAAAGTTCTTTAAATAAATAAATGCATATAAGTATGCTATAAGCCAAAAATATGCATACCAATTCTATTTAACAAAATCCAATCATCTTGTAAAAAAGCTCCATAATGTCCACGTTTTGCAATTGCCTGTGGACAACCAATATTGATATCTATTGCATCACAGTATGGTTCAGCTAAACGTGCAGCTTCCAATAGTACATCTGGATCATTGCCACAAAACTGGAAAAAATATTGCACAAAAATTAATGTAAATATTTTTCTTTCTTTATTCTCTTTCACACATATTTAATCCTTTGCGTTTCATATATTTCTCATAAAATACAATAATATTATCATCCATTTATATATATATTCAACATTAAAAAGATATATGAAAGATATAATTTTATATTTATTCATATTTATACTTTAAATTTCATAGTAAATTAAATTTACTTAAGAATAAATAGATTTTAAAGATTTAAGAATACAAATGCGTAAGATGTATTTGGAGTTTTTAGATTTTTTTAAGGCTATATATATATATATATATAGCCTTAAAAAAATATATATATATATAATAGATACATATATATATAAAGATTAGATTTTTTAAGGCTATATATACATATATATAAAAAATTGTACTTAAAAAAAAATATTTACAATATTCTAAATCATACATATCTGATTAGATAATCGTTAAATATGTACTATGTGAAATGGAAAAAAAAAAGATTCTCTCATTTTATGTTTAAATAAAGAAATTCTATGAAATCGCGATACAATCTAAAAAATAACGAGAAAACAAAAATATTTCTTTAAAATCTTGAAAAACGCAAAGTCCAATAAGAAATTTATTGTAACATAATTGTAATTTTATGATTAATGTAGACCTGTACAATTAAAGGACGATCTTCACTAGTGCTAGCGAGAGCTTCTCGTCTATACTTGGGATCCCGACAAAACACGGTGGAATGTAGCATCGGTGTATAACAGAGCTGGGCACCGTGTCGCCTACTAAGCAATCTCCATGCCAATTCACTCGCATCTACCATCGGTGCAATTATGCAACGCGGTGAACCCAAATCTTCCCAAACGTTAGTTTTTTTCGAGGAAGTATCCTTCTTGTCAAATGACTCCATTATATATGCAAATGACGATCGAGCGATGTAAAGCTTGTTTTTCCTATCTCTTCGACCTAAACTGAAAAAGAGATCTAATTTGGCTAGTCATCAATAAATAAAAATGAATATAAAGCAGATTGAAAAAATAAGAGATTATTTTTAAAATTCTTTTAAAAAGAGGAGAAATCTCAAAAAAGAGGAGAAATCTCAAAAATAAGATCCAAATAAAAAGTATGCGTATGAACTTACCCCGATAGGAACACATTTATAAAATTATATGACAAAATCTTGCATGAAATTTGTGATTTGCAATTATAAGGATATATTTTTAAAAATAGATGTAAAAATATTGATCTTTTATAAAATATTAATAATTGCGCAATTAATTTCTAAATAATATTTCAACAAAATCATAACGATATGGCGAATCATCTTAGCAGTCTATTTGCAAAATTAAATGTAGAAAGAAATTGTTCAATAATTGAGAAAAATATTTCAGCTATATTAGTTTAAAATATGTCGAAATAATTGCGCATAAAGAAATCAAACTAATCCATATATATATAATATTTATAAAAGTACACAATTATTCCTAAATTTTAATATAGAAATATTGCTATATAAAGATTGCACATCAAATATAGCAAAATTTTAAGTAAAGAATCGAAACGGTTTCCATGTAGTGTGTATGTAATGTTACCAGATTCGAGACACGCCAAATCATAAGGTCTGTTCTTTTTAGCTGCACTACTGCACTAGTGCAATAAGTTAGAAAGAGACAAATGTACTTTCTTTCACTCTAACTAATTGCACTAGTGCAGCAGTGTAGCTAAAAAGAACAGGTCCATTGTGAAGAGGATACAGTACTGGTAAAAAGTTCTGCAACGGTTAAAAATCTTGGAAAATATCGATTTATTGAAAAAATGTTTCAAACAAAAAGAATAGGACTTAAAAGAATCTATTAGATGATGATATCTGTTTGACCTTGGTATGACCTTGAAAAGACCGGTCATGGTCAACGTAAAAATATTAAATAAAAATCCCTATTTTTTATTACATATTCTTGTAGCTTAGCTCGAGAGCTTTCCAAAACGCTATAATAAAATTTTTTTTCATTGAATATTTTTCGAGTTATAAGGTTTGAAATAATTTTTTAATTTTACATAAATCATAAAATATCTAATAAAATATTCATTTTTCGAGTGTCTACCTTAATACTTTTATGTACAAAATAATGAGAGAAATCAATTGGTGCAAAGAAAAAACAGTTTTTAAGAAAAAATATATAATTGTTTATTGCAAATAACATATTTTTCTTAGAAACAACTATATGTTTTCTTTACCAATTGATTCCTATCATTATTTTGTGCATAAAAGTATTAAGGTAAGATAATAAAAAAATGAATATTTTATTAGATATTTTATGGTTTATGTAAAATTAAGAAATTATTTTAAGCCTCATAACTCGAAAAGTACTCAATAAAAAAATACTTTATTATAGCGTTTTGGAAAGCTATCGAGCTAAAATACAAGAATATGTAATAAGGAATAGAGGTTTCCATTTAAGATTTTTATGTTGACAATGACCGGGCTTTTCAAGGTCATACCAAGGTCAAATAGATATCATCATCTAATAGATTTTTAAGCTTTATTCTTTTTGTTTGAAACATTTTTCCAATAAATCGATATTCTCCAAGACTTTTAACCGTTGCAGAACTATTTGCCGGTATATACATGCACTGTATATACAGAGTGTCCCACTTTAACTGTGCACCCCGATTAATATCGTAGAAAGTGTTCGAATGAAGAAATGTTTCAAACAAAAGATGTAGGGTTTTAAGTAACGCTTTACGTAACAATATCGGTATGACCTCGAAGAACTTTGTCAAGGACACGTGAAGATCATCTTGAAATTTTTCAATAGAAACCTCTATTTTTGTTACATATTCTTGTAGCTCATTTTGAGAGCTTCTTAAAACACTATAATAAAGTATCTTTTCATTAAGTACTTTTTGAGTTATGAAGTTTGAAATATTATAATTTTTTAATTTTTACATAAACTATAAAATATCTAGTAACATATTCATTTTTTTTATTATGTTATCTTAATATTTTTATGTATAAAATAATAAAAGGACTCAATTGGTGTAAAAAAATACATAATTATTTCGAAAAAGAATATGTAATTGTTAATTGCAAATTACATATTTTTTCTTCGAAACAACTATGTTTTTTCTTTACACCAATTCCTCTCATTATTTTATACTCGCATTATTTTGCAATAAAAAATAGGGATTTCCATTAAAAAATTTCAAGATTATCCTTACGTGACCTTGACAAAGCTCTTTAAGGTCTGTTATAAAATCATTTATAATATATAAAAGAAACCGCTTTTGCGCGTGCATTAGCGCGCGGTTCGCGCTCGCAGCGGCTAGGTTAGGCTAGTAAGTAAGTAAGTCTTTGTTGGCAATACATACCACGCTGTAAAGTATCACGCACGTAAAGTTATCAAATAATGATATTGAATATTCCATCTCAAGCACACATACAAAAGTTCAAGGTCATATCGGTAATGTTGCGTAAAATATTACTTGAAACCCTACAACTTTTGTCTGAAACATTTTTTCATCCCGAACACTTTCTGCGGTATTAGTCAAGATGCACAATTAAAATGAGACATCCTGTATAAAAGCGATAAAAAAAAAACAAAGATTTAACGGTAACGGTGTTTAGTCGTGACTGCCAGTCTTGTTTCTTATTTTTCAAAGAAAGTGTTTTAAAGAAGTTGTTTAATATCTGAACAGATATATTGATGTATTGATTGTATTATCTGACAAGAAATATATTTGAAGAAGTTGGTGATTAAAGTTTGTGATATTTATAAGTTATAGAGTACGAACAAAGTGTCATTGCAAATGCTTTGAAACATTTCGAGTGAGGTCAATCGGGCACTTCAAAGCATTCTAGCAATAGATATGATGTCATAAATACGTCATACATTTTCGCTTTCAGCTCCCCAAAGAACACATTGTAGTCAAAATGACGTCATTTTGATGTCATAATTACATCACAATAGAAGAAATCAAAATGACGATTTTTGGTTACAAAATTTGATGATTTGTTAACGATTATTAATATACGCTATAAATGGATTATTTCTCATTTATATCCACCTAATTTCTCATTTATATCCATCTAATTTCAAATAATCTGTTTAATATTTTGAATTCCAACAAGGAATCCAGATTATTAAATAAATTATTTTAAATTTGGTTTATTAGAAATTAAACTGATAAATAGTGATGCCAGGAACAGGAAGAGAACATTACCCATACGCACACAAGCAGAGAGCTGCTACGTAGTTCTCTGATTGTGTGCTTGTGAGCATCGTCCTCTTTCTGGCACTATTGCTCACAAAAAGAAAAAAATATACTATAAATCTTATCTAATGTTTAGCAGCACTTTATCTATATCCTTTATATACATTCATGATGAAAAATTGAATACGAGTTTAGTTAAGTTTGGTACGCGTAACGGCTAAATGTAGAAACTCATTGTATAAATGTATATAAAAGTAATGATAATAAAAAGACTATTAAATTATAAAAAATGATCCATTGATGACATCGAAGTGACATAAAGCCATATACATTAATAATAATTTTCAGAACTTTTACGCATACTAAACTTAATACTACTATATTAAATTTGCAAGACAAGCGCAAAGTCATTTTTCCGTCACGAGCAGTATATGTTACTGAAGTCAAATTTTCGTCACATGGCTATTTCGAGTCAAAATAAAGTCATTTTGACTTTTTCTTGACTTTAGTGTGTTCCTTGGGTCGCTTTCAATATTATTGTTGCTGAAGAGTAGTGTAGTTGAAGCATTGGCATTTGAATAGATAGAAGGAGCCTTTTGAGAGGGATAACTGATAAATGCAGTAAGGAAGAGTGCATGAACTTCGGTTAATTCCGTCAACGTTTGACTATTCGGCACAATTTGACATTACATGAAGATTCTATTGACATCATCGATTCTCAAATGATTTGAGAAGACTGATGAAGATTTACACAAAAATGTTTAAAGAGTGTTTATTTAAAGAAAATCGCTAACGCCGTTAAATATAAAAATAATATGAAAATAATAATGTTAAAAATAATATTAAATAATATATAAAATATACATACATACACACACACGCGCGCGCGCCGTTAAATATAAAAATAAAATGAAAATAATAATGTTAAAAATAATATTAAATAATATATAAAATATATACACACACACACACAAAATATTATTTATGTATATTATTTAATATATAAATAAATATATATATATATATATATATATATATATGTATATACAGCGTGTCCCAAAAGAATGGACACACCTGATTTTCTTGGAAAATAAGCGTGCTAGAAAAAAACGTCAATAACAAAAGTTTCGGGAAATCAAACGGTGCATCTAAGAGTGACCTTGAGTTTGACCTTGAGCTTGACCTTCAAGGTTATTTGAAGGTCAAAGTGTTTTTTTTAAACAGGAACCCCTATTTTTGATTGTATATTCTTATAGCTGACCTCGAGAGCTTTCCAAAACACTATAAAAAAATATTTTTCCTTCAAGCATTTATCGAGTTATGAGGCTTCAAATCATTTCTTAATTTTAAGAGTGACCTTGAGTTTGACCTTGAACTTGACCTTCAAGGTTATTTGAAGGTCAAAGTGTTTTTTTTAAATGGGAATCCCTATTTTTGATTGTATATTCTTATAGCTGACCTCGAGAGCTTTCCAAAACATTATAATAAAATATTTTTCCCTCAAGCATTTATCGAGTTATGAGGCTTCAAATCATTTCTTAATTTTACATAAACCGTAAAATATCTTGTAAAATATTCACTTTTCGATTATTTTACCTTAATACTTTTATGTACAAAATAATGAGAGGAATCAATTGGCGTAAAGAAAACATATAGTTGTTTTTAAGAAAAAATATGTAATTTGCAATTAACAATTCCATATTTTTTCTTAAAAACAACTGTATGTTTTCTTTACACCAATTGATTCCTCTCATTATTT